ACTTAGGTGTTATTCATCTGAATATGACTCAAAGTTGCACATCTACACTCATGTATGAAAAAGAAAGGAATTTATGTCAAATAATAAAAAGAGAAAAGAAAGGAATTATAATTAGATTAGGAAAAAAGTAAAGACAATGTGTTTTATAATTGTGCATGGAAGAATATTTAATGACGCACGGAAAATGAAAAGAGAAAGAAGTCGGAATAACATAAAAGAAAAGATAATGATATCATTTTAATATGCGAGAAATGCCAAATTCAATCATAAAAATGACAAATGCATTATGTATATGTACATGACTTTTTTTAAAAACTTCTTTCACCAATTGGTCACAAACATATTTAAACCATATAATCATAATTCGGTTTTGAAAAATATACAAAAAAACATTTGGTGATCATTGGTGTCTAGTGATATTCTTAAACACATGAAATTTTGTGTATATATCAATGTACATATGACTGAAACATGTTGATATATTTCATATATTTTTAATAAGTATTTTCTAACAAACTGCAACATATCTACATTGGTTCACATATTTATAGTAGTTCGTACAAATAAAATGTTAAATTCTTCGTGTTCTAGAATGCGGAAGAAGATTATTCTTTACTTTTTATTTTTCAATTTTAAAAGAAAATCACATGTCAAATTATGTAAAAGTTTATAATTGTGTACCAACTAAATTTATGCTTTTCGGATTTATTTAATTACTTGTAAGAAATTATAAAAAATTATGAAACACATTATAAACTAAAAATAATTTATTTGGAGATGTTAATGATTTTCTTATCAATGCTAAAAAATATAATATAAAATTTTAACCGTGATAGCTATTCTATTGGTTAAAAAATAGTTGTGATTAATTGCATGAAAGATATTTTATTCTATTGGTTAAAAATTTGAAATGATTACAGTTTGAGCTTGTAGGTTGCATGATTAAATCTTAGTTATGGTGATGGTTAATAGCATCAAATATACTTTATTCTAGTGGTTGAACATTTGAAATGATGATAGTTTGACCTCGTAGGTCACAGGTTCAAATCTTGGTCATGATGATTGATATACATGTTTATTTAGTTTTATTTTAATGTAACTAATAACTTAAAATGTTAAAAATGACAAAATGGTATGGAAAATTATGGAGATCTCGTTGTCCTATGTGGCAAAAACTTGCTCCACAACGGCCATAATATAAGTTAAGATGAACCACCACAGTTTAACTAGTTCACTGGTTCATTATTTAACCAAATTTTTTTAAAACAAATGCTTTAACATAGACTAACTCCATCGAACCATAATTATTAATTTTATTTTTGCTTTATCTTCTCATTTTTAACCTCATTATCAACTTACTATTGATAGTCGTATGCCACAATGAGCAATGATATAGTGTCCTTTTTGGCAGGACATATTGATAACGATAGAGATTTTTTACTATAGTGAGTAGCTCTAAGACATTTATTGTACGTACAATGGAATAATGGCGCCATGAATTGTCCCTGTCAGTACTAATATCATAATTATCTTGTATTTTTTTAATATTTGTCACCTGTTGTGGGGGTGTAGTCACTATGCGATGGTGACTTTACACAAATAGTATATAACATAAAAGAAGAAAGAAGAATATATATTGGTGAGCAAACTCCATCTACATCGTCTTCTTTCCACTTCAAGTTCAAAAGAGCAGCCGATTTAATAGAAGAGACAAAGAGGAAGTGTGAAATTGTTCTCTGTATTCCTTCTTTCTTGCTTTCTTTGACTTCGTTCACGTCCTTAGCTCTGCTCGATCCCGATATTCAAAACTCACTTCACATTATCTCTCCCTTCTCCGTTTTCTTGCCTAGCGGTTAGCGGTGGTTGGTTTCAACTTTTCTAAGCCATGTGAGTTCTATGAGTTTCTTCTTTGCGATTCTTTCTTAGTGATTTTTTTAGTGACGGTTTAATTTCCATACAAACTCAAAATTTGAGATTTTGGTTTGGTGAAGTGAATTGATCATTGGTGTTAAAAAGAAATTCACAGAGGAAGGTGATCAAGAGAATAAATTGGATCAAGAAAAGGCAATGGATAGTGAAGAAGTGTACGTGAGCAACCATATTGAGACCGTATATAATTAGAAGATGAGTAGTTTCCTCCCGTAAATCGTCCTTTCTCGGGTAAGATATATAAACCAAATAGGAGACACCCTTTATAGTCTCCTCTTCTGCCATTTCAATATGATCTCATAGGCAATGACTAGGTCCGCTTCTCGCGTGAGCTAGAGTTAGCCTACAAACATAAACCATCACGGAGATTGTTCAACTATCGTATAGTTTTCCTCTTCAATCCTCCTTCCGTGTTACCGAAACTTCAAACACACTGTGGAAATTGAGTATTTGTTTTTGTATTTTTAATCCACGTTCCAGTCACTTGTTAATCGGCTTTTACAAGGTATCGAGTAACTTTGTTTTGTCTTGTTATGATCGGTGATACATATATGTTTATAGTATCATGACGATGGTTGATCATAGTGTCTGTTATTTGGTGTTCCATTATATCGAGTAATTATATTTTCCCGAGCTCACTCGAAGGTTATTTATTTCATGTGGTGGTATTTTCATTACGGTCAAATTTATATTATACATATTCATTTGAAAAAATGTTCAATATTAGTGTATATCTTTAACTGATTAATGCCTTACATGACATATATTCTAATAGCCATGTTTTTTTTTGTAGACCCAATAAATTCCTCAGTGACCATCAGAGAACTTTCAGGAGGTATCATAGAGCGACCATTAGTTGTCCGACTCATTCACCAATGGATCACCAGAGACTTTCCCGGTTCACCTGCACTTAATACAATATGGGTCGACAAAGAGGTGGTTCCTTTAAGTATATCTGCAAAGCATGTGTTTGTTGTTATAGTCTAACGTGAATTTGTTTCAATAACAGGAAAACATTACAGAAGGTCTTACCTTACCCAAATATTATGAGATGGTCAAATATTTCATCGGAACAAGATGCATTTACATTATGTCGGACGTGTTGTTGATTCCTGCACGGTCTAGAAATCGTTACTCTCCATTCGATCTACGACTACACATTAAATCTGCTATGGATTTTGTCAAAATTTATGACAATTATTTAGTACGCGACAATCCAGTCTATCGCTTCCCTTTCGAAAGCTTTAGAGATACTGCATTTGAAGACGTACCACCTATGCGTTCTAATCATACCCATCTAGCAGGTTAATATATTTACAATTTATGTACTACTGTAATCCTATTTTTAGATATATATAAATTTAATTATTCAACTTAATCAAATTGTATCTTTGTCAATCTCTTTATAAACAGATCTTACAGGTCTTTTACTTTCCATTACCACGGGACGACACCATCCATATCACATCAAAACTTTCAGAGTCGTGATAGAAAATACCAGGTTTTTTACGATCACATTAATATTCTATATTTACTTTGATTGTCAACGTCCATCAGATTTTTGTCATTCGGTTTGATTGGAGGAACAGGAGATTCCACATCTTTTATACTGATACACAATATTATAGCATTTGTCAAGATGCAATAATAAAAGAGCGTAATGGACCAGTTATATGTACAATTACCGGTATTTTTGTTGGCAAGATACGTACTCCTGATATTCACGTTCTTATTGATATTTACACTCTTATCATCTTTCATTGTATGATATTTACTTAATTTAAGTACGTTTGACTTTATTGTGTATCATATAATCGATATTATGTTATGCGCATTTGTTGTTCAAAAAAATGTAGGGGTCTATATGTTGAAGAGCACCTTGGGAAGTCGCATAATATTTGCCGCATATACTCACAGATACAGGAGTTTCTTTCATAGGTGAGCTATATGGTCAATTTCCCGTACGTTTTCACGGTTATTGATAATATATGTTTAAAAATTATATATCTTGTAGGTTTTCTACCGTTCACATGCCAATACAACTGAATCCAAAATCACAACCGTCGGCTATTAAATATCTTCGTGGTCCACTCTCGGAACGAATCACACTGAGAGATTTGCTTGCGGAATTTCGGTCTGAAAAACCGCAATATGGGGTTAGATATGTATTTGTTTTTGTATTGAAGTTCAAATAAATGTAAATGAGTGTACGGTAAGTGTACATGTTGGAGGTAACTTTATCAGGTTACCCTTAAACTTAACCGTGGTTCATCATATCGTTGCCATTTTTTTATAGTATACATGTGCATGACATGTTGCACTTGTTAAATGTTATTGCATATTATGTCTATATATATCGTAAACAACAATTAAGGTTGAATGTTTCATTTTTTTTAACAGAAACCTTACTGGTGTTTGATAGAAGTTGAGAATTCCAATACAGATCAAGAAGTTTTCTCAAGATATCCTGAATTGTAGGTATATGTTCACTTATTCATTTCGTTGCTTAGTGTAAAAGGAATATTAATGCTTCTCGTTGTTTCCTCAATTTCTTACTAGCTATTTGAGTGTGATCGCCTGTGGTGATGGAATGACTTCCTGCGATTTGATGTTCCGTCAATCGCCTGTGACTACCTTGCTGAAAACTCCATTAACGGAGTTCAAAAATCTTACAGTTGATGGCAGACATCGTCTAATGAAGTTAGCAAACGGTCAAGTATTCACTGCAGAGGTGGAAATAATTGTACCTGGATCACCTCTCTGGTTTTATCAATGTTACCTGCTTATTGCATCCATTGGCATATGCTTTGCCTAATATGTAATAAAGTTGTCAATGAGCGTTGTTTTTTTGTTATAAACAATCCGGTTCATCAATAATGATCATTTCATGTGCTATTTCTCGAATTTCTTGGAGTGCATTTTTAAATATTTTTGCTTTTTTGTTAATAATTTACTGTGTTTCTGTCTAATGTTAATATTAAATGGTTTGTACTTTGCATATATGTATATATATGTAGATGCTTCTCAATTATTGTAATTATTTGTTGTGTTTATTTTTTATTATGATATGAATTAAAATGTTTACGTTATTGTTTGTCAAATCTATAACTAATTATAATTTTTATATGATAACTTTGAGTCACTCACGCATTCTCCACAACGTAGCGCAGGCTTTGTTGCTAGTTATTAGTTTATTACTGCAAAATATTATCTCCCCTGAAACGATGCTAATCAGTTTGTCCAGCAGAAGGGAAGCCACTGTCTCCTGTCCCCACGTATAAAATAGAACAAAAAAATTACTGTGCTTACACAAATGCCACAGTTGAACAGCAAGTTGAACAACCTTAGATGGGGAAAAAGGAAAATTGATCAGTAAGTAAATATACATTCCCAGTTCTCCGGGGTAAGAATATCTCAGGTTCTCCAGCCATATGTGTATCAAAACCCAGGGCTACAAGGTAGAAGGCAGCATCAAACTCTAGGGCAGCCATTGACGCTAAACTCCAGTACAATCCTGTATCTGCAACTCTCCACTATCAGTTGTTGTCTTCTCCCTGCATGTCAAACAAAAATGTTGCCATGAACCTAGTTAGTTACTCTTTGTCAAAAAAACCTAGTTAGTTACTCACAATTCACAACAGAATGAACGAACGACCGATCATTGGCAGATAGGAACTGCTGTGGATGGCTCATGCGGTCATGCTTGATTCTGAATTCAATAGGTTTGCATATTACCAAATGCGGCTATAAGAGGTTTAGGAAATTATTAACTACTAATAACTTGGGATAGCTGAAAGCCCTATTACAGGAGGGAAAACTTGGACAGATTAAAACAGAAAAACTACCTCCGACTACAGACGAAAAACGATGCTGGTCGAGATGTGCTAGGTGGAACCATAACTTACAATACCTGTGGCGATAAAGAGAAGAATGGCTTACTAGCAGTGCGTAGGACTACGTAAGCAGCTAACTTGGGAATTCCGACTTACACACACACAAAAAATTACAGAAACAAAGAGAGATTGTCAAATGCACCATATTGTATTTCAAAAGTAACAGGCATCCACAATAATTGGACAATGTCATAGCGGTCAGTATTTACTGTTTAATCTTCAGACAAATAAACCAAAGCAATTCAGAACTGGAAGTAACAAAATGACTAACCTTCATACTTGGGGTATAAGTGCAATCTCAATCTCTTGCAGTGATTTGCCTTTGGTTTCCAAGACATTCTTTTTTACAAAGATGACAGCAAGCATACAAAAACTGGAGAAGACTGTATACAATACGAGCGGACCAATTTGCTCCAGTAACCGCAAAAACAAGAGCCCAACAAAAAAATTAACAACCTGTGTACACGCCAAACAGTAAGCAGTGGATCCATTTACACCTAACAATTGCATCATCAAAGAAGAGAATACCAGCACAAAGCAATTACCCAATGTACGGCCATACAAACTGCCATTGCCTTGGCTCTAATCCGACTCGGCAATATTTCTGACAACAGGAGACCAGGAACTGGACCAGCACCAAGGGCAAATGTTAAGACAACCCTGCAGAAGAATCAGTTTCACGTTTCAGATGCAGTGAGAGAGATACAGCAAGAAACCAGAATCACACCCCTTAAAAGCATTGCCTCATCAAACCCTCTTTCACAGTTGGTTCACTGCACTGTGTGTTTATCAATCTGACAGGATATCATTCAACATGGAAAGTAAAGTAGGTGAACTGTCTCTACTGCCTATGATTATTCGCTACAAAAGATCTGACAGTGTAGCATGAAGGACCATCAGCAGGTAGATTAAACATACGGCAACTTCTTTTGAAAACCAAGACAAGAGAAGAGAGATAACTTACAACAAGATGCCTCCAACAGAAAGATACACTGACTGGGAGCTTGAGACAAGCGAACTAGCTCCTACAGCTTGGATGCACATTGATACTGCCTGTGAAGAAGTACGGTAATATACTTATATCCAACATAGCTGACACACATTCTACTGCTATAACACACTACGAGAAAAACTAAAAAATTAGCAACGAGGCTCATTTCATATAACAAAGATCTTTAGGGATAGCAGATTAGCTGTATCCCCCATAGTTTAGGTCATGTGTTGCTACCACTTTTTGGGCAGCAAACAGACATAATTTCCTCTATTGAAACAATGCAACAAGTTTTCAAGTCAAAAGCAATTTTCCGTACTTACCATACCAAAGAAACTGCCCATGAGAAGCACCCTTCTCCCCAGTCTATCCATCAAAATCATGGCAACTACGGAGCCTGGAAAATGGGAATGATTGAAGTTAAGTTAAAAAAAAAAAAGAGTCAACCAAGAGGAAAGCAAAGAGAAATGTAGGGTACAAATGCTTTCTTTACCAAACAAGTTGCAGAGCCCTACACACGTGTTTGCAAAGTCTGACGGTACACCAGCACTTTTAAAGACGGTTGATGAGAAATAAAACACGGCATTTATCCCTGATAGCTGTTGTAAGGCAAAAAGGGTAGACCCAATGAAAACCACTGCAAATCGAGGGAGTCAGGCGTAATTATTTGGAAGCAAACTGAAGCCCTAACATCATGGTAAGAAGTAGGTAATTTGGGGACCTTTAAAATGACGGCCATAAAGCAACTCTGTGAACTTGACTTTCTCTACTTCATCTCTCCCGTCTGACTTTGACAAATCTGCCATTGCAGATTTGACATGCAATGCTCCTAAAAGTCTCTCGAACTCAACTTCAGCTTCAGCACTTCGTCCGCTCTGAAGTATGCTAAGAAGATAACGAATGAATATAAAGAATTAGACGAGTACATAAACAATGCTTACAACATAGGGTTATACCTCCCATAACCCATAATTTAATAGGAATGGACTTCCTTCTCCTGTTACATACACTCTATATCTGAAGCACTAACTATACTTATGTTTTTTATGTCCAATTTCTATAACTGTTATCAAGAGATACGCAGAATAACTAATATTTGGAATAAAATTGAATAGAGAACATAAGCAGGTGACCTTTAAAAGCCAGTAAGGACTCTCTGCACAAAACTCCATAAGAATAGCAAGTGATGCAGCAGGAATGGCAGACACCCAAAAGCAAATGCGCCACCTAGGAATTTTTTTTGGGACATATATGGAGTCATAATATCATCACACATATCCCACAATGTTTGAAACTACATTGAAGTTTCAGCTTTCCTTACCAACCCATGGTCGTCTTGGCTGGCATTCCAATATAAAGGGACCCCATCAGTCCAAAACATGTTGCAATTTGTGTCAAGCTTCCATAGGTACCCCTTACATAAGCTGGGGAAACCTGCTCAATGACAGGTCATAATATGTCAATGTAAATTGAAGTGTGCACAAACCTTCAATAGGTAAGACAAGAGTTTTCATTTGCTATACCTCTGCAACATAAAGAGCTGCTACAGGTGGGCCAAGACCCATCCCAGTTCCAACGAGCAACCTTCCGAGGAGCATGCCCCATAGGTTTTTTGTTGTGGCACTGCAAGAAAAATGTTTGGGTATTGCTTAAGGTAACAGCCTCAGATTCATTATGAGATGGCCACATATGCTGAGGAGTCATCAAAGCTACTACATCTACAAGGTACGCAACAAAGAAGAATCTAAGTCACCAAGCATTCACCTCACTGAAGCGCCAACTATCATAGGCAAGGCACAAAGCTGAAACGCCCTGCGGCGGCCTACACCATCTGCAACCCAACCACTGAAGAGCGATCCAACAAAAGCACCACCTAAGCATGTACTCACCACAAGGCCTTCATTTTCAGGCAAAAGTATAATAGTTAGAACAATTTCAACAAAAAACAAGAGAACTGAGAGATGGGAAGTCCATTGTCCAGAGTTTTGACAGTACCCTCCGCCAACGTATTCCCACTAAACCCGAGGTCTCGGGATATGCTTTCAAGCGTCTCATTTACTACTCTGCATTACATTCAGAATTAACAACATTAATCCATCTGAGGCATTTCTTGCAAAGTGTATACAGGATTAAGTTCCAGAGGGGCGAAATTACCCAAGATGGTAACCAAACAAGAGCGAAGAAATAGTGGCCACCAGTATATGCACCAGAGATCGCCTCCATGGAGGGTTTCCAATATCTTTGCTTATCTCAATCGGATCTGCAATCCAAAAAATTGGGAAATCAGTTTAAGTTAGTGTCGATTCAGGATATACCACTGCTGCATTAACAAATAGAGAAAGGAAGCAACTCGCCTAATTATAATTAAATCACTAAATTAATCTAGTTTCTGACTTCATGGAATCTCTTCATTAGTATTGCGAAATTTGGGAAAGATTAAGTAAAAACACTTGGTTATCAATTACAGTAATACCTTTTCACACAACGAAAATCTGCAATTGCATTACGATGTAAAACGGGGCAGGACATCACTGAAAAAAAACAGATATAAAAAGAGCAGTAAAATAAGAACAGAGAGAATGAAAACCTGGAGGAGCGTCTTCTCTGTCATCCAGGAAATCCTTGGAGGAAAGTCGCTTGTAGGCATAGTAGGAGTTCTCCAGGTGACGCTCTCTCATGGCGGAGGTACTCAAAATTCTTCCCCTAAACCTCGCTAAGATCTGAGCCTTCTCCGGCAAACTGCAAAAACACACCGGCGACGATTGCTTAAATTTAGATCCGGATGATAAACTAAACGAACTCAGCGATTCGAGCAAATACAATGGCGGAACCGAGCTTTAGCTCACCGACTCTGGGTCCAAATCAACAGGTGAACAATGGAGGAAGAGAATTCAACAACCGATTGGCAATGAAGAATCATACATGCGTATATAAAGAAGTGAAACGAGGAACCAAACTCGTCATACCTGTAAAGAGAAGGCGATTCGGATGAAAGAGGAAAGCGAAGCAGAGAGGCGAGAGAAATGATGATTTGCGCGAATGTTTGAGAGTGACGGCGAAGCAGAAAGAAGGGGGAAATGGAAAATGTGGGGGTGGGAGAGGAGAGAGATAGCTGACGTCACTTTCCGGCGGACAGAATGAGAGAGCGCTGGGGACAGGACGAGGAGGAGAGATCGCCGTGACTCGTTAGCCAGTGCGCGGGTGCGAGCTGCTAACGTGCGCGGGTGGACATTTGCTTGCTCCCTGTTTGGTTTGTCCGTCTGTGCTGGTTTGGTTTCTGTTTGAATCTTTTGAAAATTTCTTTCCCAGTTGCAGAGGGAAGAAGAAGAAGTGAAAAAGAGGAAAATGGAAGGGGGAACACGTGTCCAGAGTACGGACTTGATGGCGGGGACACTGTTTGATCTGGTGTTTCGTTGCCGCGCTTCCAGGAGAAAAGGTTTTTTTAACAAAAATATTAATTATTTGAAAAGGTTCCTTCTGTAATTTCTTTCAGGGATTCTTGGTGACACGTCATAAAGCACAACCAAAGTTTGCTTTATTACGAACGCATAAAACCTGTGTATCAGAACTCGGTTGTCAAATAGAAATTGGTAAATTAGAAGGTTGGTCATTAAGATTATTAAAAATATTCATGTTTGGTTACTAAAAATGTTTAGTTTCATTCATAGTCACTAGATTTAGTAAAACACATCAACTTTGGTCACTTTCCGTCCAACTCCGTTAACTTTGACTGATGTGACAGTCAACTTTCATAGTTGACCGTTAACTGTATGATATGGCAATTAATAAATTTAAAATTAAAATTGCGACCACATTATCACTACCATTGAAAATAAATAAAAAATATATTCATTTTAATTCCCTAAACCTCATCCCTCTTTCTCACCATCGCTCTAGATTTCTGGCGTTCAGAAACCCCCAATCCTAGGCCGCTGCGGAGGGGATGGATAGCGAGCAGCGTAGGGCGTTCTCAATGACCACCGCCAGCCTTGAGGAGGGTGAGGAGGCAATATCCTGCTGGCCAATGGAGCTGGTGTCGGGGGAGTTGTCGGCGCAGTGGGCGATCGTATGTTGCCGTGGACAATGTCTCTGAATATGTGAATGAGTTGCAGGAGGAGCCGAGCTTGGAATTGGGTTTAGAATGGTCGAGGACGCTGGCCGATTCTATCTGTTTGTTTGCCAATGAGGAGGTTTAGTTCGATTCTGGCGATGGTGGGTCTGGATCATGTACGGCGACAATGGATCTAGATCTTGCAATCCGAAGCCTGCATCGAACCATTGGAAAAGATACACAAGGAGGCGTGCAACAATGGAATGAAGTTTAATTGACTTCCATTAGTGCTCTGCGTCCTCGCCGATGGCGGAGACTTTCGCGGCGGCTGATTGATGGAGACGGCGACGAACTGGAGACAGAGAGATGGCAGCGGTGACTTGTGTTTCCTTAGGCGGAGCTGTAGCTGGAGGGCGGCGATCAGCGACGGAAGTCGCTGACGGCGCACTTGGAGCTGGTAGTTCACGGCCAGTGAAGTTCACGGCGGCGATGAAATGGGAGCCGCGGTTGCAGATGGCGACGGGGGATTTGATGAACAAGGGAGTCGGTTCAGGTTCTGGCCAAGTTGGACCGGCGCCTGGAGAGGACAACGACGATGAGTCTCATCAGGCAATGAACAGAGAATATAGCGGCAGCGGTGATGTTAAAGGTGGATTAGAAATTTTAGGTTTTTAATTTATTTTTTAATGAATATGTAATGAGATGGAAATTATTATAGATTAAAATTTATTTTTGTATTATTTTTAATAGCCACGTCACTAATTAAACGGTCAACTATAACTGTTGACTGGCACATCAGCAAAAGATAACGGAGACTAACAGAGAGTGAACAAACATGAACTATTGAACTAATATTAGTGACCACGAATGGAATTAAATATTTGTAGTGACTAAACATAAATATTTTTTGTAAACTCAGTGACCAACCTTGCAATTTACCCAATAGAAATAGGTAAGTTGTTGGGACGGTGAAATAAATGGTTTTATTTTATTGGTTGAACTGGAATTTGTTCGGTTTAAACAAGGATTAATAGTTAATACTTTATTTTGGTCCGAAGTATGACCATATAATCAACTTTGGCCCGTGGTTTCAGAAATTAACATCAGCTTAGTTTGGCCCTGTTGTAGCTTTTGCAGAAGCAGCTTCTAGCTGGAGCTTTTAGATAAGTACTTAAAAAAAGCAGTTAAGTGTTTGGCTGTAAAACTATTAGAAATGTTTTTTAATATAAGAGGTTGTGTAAAATGACTATAAATGACTTATAATATAAAATATGAATAAAAATTCTAAACAATAAAAAGTTGTCAAAATTGATCTTGTTAGATTTCTTTTATATTAAATAATATGATTTTATAATTTATTTTACTTTTAAAATGATATAAATGAAGGAAAATTATATTTTCTGAAATAAAATTAAAATATTGTAAGGATAATCTTGTATTTTCAAAACAGCTTTTCGCAGAAGCTCCAAATCGGAGCTTATGCTTTTATGTTATACAAAAGCGCTTTTCGGCTTTTCAAAAGCCGAGCTTTTACAGGTGTTTGGCTCTGCTTCACCTTTTGAACCCGAAAACCACTTCTAAAACCGAGCCAAACATAGGGATCATGACTTCAACTATTCAGCATATAAATTCAATTGGCCAGAATCTTGATTTGACCGTCTATTTGGACGTTCAACACCATTAACCGTTAGTCAACTGTCAAGATTACTGCCATGTCAGCACCAAACAAAGAAAATTCAAATTAAAATGTTCTTTTACTATTTTCTTTTTGTAATTAATAAATAATTAAAAATATCAAAATTGTTATTGGGTTAATCCTTTTCCTAAATCCCACCGCCACCATTCCCAAACTCCCCCCTCCCCAATTCCGTCGCCGCACAAAACTCTATCTCCGTCCACCTTTCCTTCCATTACGAACCATCCCACCGCCGCCATTTCCAAACTTCCCCCTCCCCGGTTCCCCCGCCGCCTCATGAAACTCCATCTCCGTCCTCCTCTCCCTTCCACATCGACCCATCCCACCGTCAACATTCCCAAACTCCCCCCTCCCCATTTCCGCAGCCGCCGCACTAAACTCACTCTCCGTCCTCTCCTTCCCATTACATCGACCCAACCCACCGCCATCATTCCCGAACTAGATATGAAATCAAAACCAGGGTTAGAACAAGCAAGCGCAAACTGAAATCAAAATAAAAGAAATCGTCGGGCAAGCTAGTCTATTCCGGCTTCTTTTCCCGATCCTTCGATTCCGGCTCCGTCTTCTTCTAGGTATTATTTCTCTTCCGCCTCCGGTGCAGCAACGGGGAAGATGGAGGACAGTTCGGCGGCGGATGCGTCTTCGATCGGTTCCGGCAGCGGCAGGGAATACAGAGCGGAAGAAGGAGAAGGACTTGACATCCAAGATCTAAAGGATCTATCTCTGTCGCGGCCTTTTCTGATCCCGACTCAACGGAAGATTAGGTGGTGGAACTGGAGTTGTTCCCCGAACTTCTCTTGTGTCTTTTTCCTCATCAGATCAAAACCCAGCAGGTGAAACAAGTGAAGGAGTTGCTTTTTAAATGATTGAGGAAGCCTACCATTTCCTGCTCACCCGAATGCTAGTGCAGTAGCGCTATGAGCAGGACGGTAGCGAGCAGGACGACACCACACACAAAACAGAACAGAAATCTCAGATATCTATCATCGGGGAAGAAGGATTGGGCAAGGGATGGGTTTTTTTCAGTTTATATTTTCAATTTAATATTTTTTATTTTTATTTTCAACATGGCATCCACGTCAGCAATCATGCTTATTCACTAACGGTCAATGATGTCGACCGTCTAATCTGACGGAAATTCACGGGTCGGGCCAATTGAGTCTATATGATACATAGTTGAGGCCAGGATGTTAATTTCTGAAACCACTGGCTAAATTTGATTATATGGTCATACTTCGGGCCAGAATAAGGTATTAACCCTTTAACAATGCTAATATTGTAACATCTCCAACATTTTCCCTTGGAAAATATTGTCCGCTTTGAGTCTCGACCCTCACGGTTTCAACTTGGTGTACAATTTAAGGTGACTTCCCATAAGGTCACGCAATCGCATCCTTGTTGTACTCCACACTGAGCACGCTAACTTCGGAGTTCTCACAAGAACTCTTCCATTTCACCCTGAAACGCGTCTTGTCAGTTAAAGTCGGTTTCCTACTTATGAACCATGGATTTCTCCCGTGCTTTGTCGATGTGGGATTCACTTAAGGTGTTACAAATATACTAACACTTTTTTTTTGTTAGTATAGTTAAAATTTCCTCTAGCCAATAGAAATATTCCGTTTGAATGACTTTTACATTTAAATGAGTTGGCCATAAATAATGAGGGAGAAAAGGAATGACAGACATGATTGATATTATGAAAAATTGGGAAAGGGAAGGGCGGACCAACCATTCTTTTTGCATTAAATAGAAGGAAGGGGGATCACCAAAGTAGGCAATGATAACACCTAAATTATTGTTATTTACCCTTCATACTGCGAATTAATTGCAAACTAAAGTATGATGTATTGTTGTATTATTCACTTATATGAAATTTTTTACATCTTACTAAATATGGGGCTTTTGCCTTCTCAAGTTGAACATTTGACTTTTGTGTCATAAAGAAAAAAGAAGCGAAAGCATTTGCTTTTAGGGGTCGTTTGGATGGAACATTAGTAAAACGAGACAATTTGAAGCAAATGTTCCATTTTAGAAAATGAGACAATTCTATGAGAAATTTGTTCAAAATTGCCTTGTTTGGATGGTTATTTGACATGAGACAATTGGAATGAGGCATTTTGTGAAAATACACTTTTGACCTCATGTTTTTACCCTCTTTCTCCATCTCTCTTGCTCTCTTTGTTTCCAGTGGCGACAGAGTTGATGAAATCTGGAGAACTATTGGAGAAACTCCGGTCGTTGCAAGTCAATTGAACTCTCCTCTCTGCTCCCGTAAACCGATCATTTTCCCAATGGATTTGATTTTTTCATCTCTCTACCTTCGCCCAAGATTTCCACTCGAACTCGACTATAGCAGTAACATCGAGATCCTCATTATTAGAATCTCGACGAACAAAGGCCTCAGGGGGGCTGGGCTTTCGGGATTTTTCTACATTCAATCAAGCTTTATTGGTAAAACAGTGTTGGCGTATTCTTCATTCTCCCGATTCGCTCGTTGCTCGTGTGTTGAAGGGTCGGTATTTTGCTCATGGATCTTTTCTTTCAGCCGCTACTGGATCTACTCCGTCTTGGGCTTGGCAGTCTCTTCTACACGGACGCGATTTACTTCTTCATGGATTACGATGGGAGGTTCACTATGGTGCTTCCATCGATGCATTCACGGATCCTTGGGTACCTACTTTACCTGCTTTCCGTCCTACTTGTCTTCCTTCGGTACAGGTTTCTCCTCTGTTTGTTTCTCACTTTATTTCTCCTACCACCTCACCTTGGCATCAGACTCGTTTGCGCGAATTTTTTTATTCTTCTTCTGTTCAGAGCATCCCTGCCATTCCCCTTCCCTGCAATTTGTCTCCGGAAAAGTTTGTTTGGCATTACACCACCAATGGCATTTTTTCTGTTAAGTCGGCCTATCACCTTGGTCTTCAAATTAATGCTCTTTCCGCTCCTCAATCATCGTTGTCTGTTGACTCGGCCTCCCCGCTCGATCCTTTTCTATGGCCAAAAGTTTGGTCTTTGCCGGTTATGCCAAAGCTCAAGTTTTTCCTCTGGAGGATGCTACTTCGGATTCTGTCGGTTTGGGAGGACTTACAGCGACATGGTCTTGGTGTTCCCATCTTTTGTCCAATTTGCGATTCTGATGAGGGGGAGTCTCTTGAACATCTGTTTATTCGTTGTCCTGTGGCTATTCGCCTTCGTGATGCAATTGGCCTTTCTCTACCTCTGGGTTTTGATTCTTCTTACCATTTCGCTCTATTGTGGCGTCTTTTATTATGCCATGCTGCCCCAGATATTATCTCTGATTGGCTTCTCCTCTGTTGGCGTCTTTGGAAAGGGCGTAATAATGTTGTGTTCTCTCCTTATGCCCAATTCACCGTTCATGTTCTCCGTCGTCAATTCCTTTCCCATCGTGATTCCAACCGCCTTGCCATTGTTTCTCCTGCTCCCCCACCTCTTTTGCCGTCACGCAACAGGGCTTCATCGGCAGTTTTAAGTGGTGCTTTTCAAGGCCTTCGATTGGCGGTTGATGGAGCCACTTCTTCCCATCAGTCTGGTGCCATTGGTATTGTCGGTCTTACAGGCGTTGTTCCGACATTTGCTTTTGGTTCATTTATTCGGGGAGTGTCTGATCCTAGCTTGGTTGAGTTGCTGGCTATACGAGAGGCACTATATTTGCTGCAACGGTGGCATTGGCATGATCGGGATGTGTTGCTTACGCAAGATGCCCAAGTGGTCATTGACAAACTGGTTTCGGGTAATTTAACGGATGCACGTGCTGGCGCAATTTATTCAGAGGTTCATGCGTTACTAGTCCAATTGCCAAAGGTTGTTTTACAATTTACGCCTCGAAATGCGAATCGGGCTGCCCATTTAGTGGCGCAACATGTCTTACGCTTTCCTGGATTACCTCCATTGTTATTCGATTTCTCTTACTTGTTTTTTTATGTCTTTTGATAAGTGAGTGTGCCGATCTGTTGTGGCTACCCTTATCCTTGCCTTGTAAATCTACCAAGATTTCAATGGAAAAAAAAAATCTCGACGGAGATGGTAGGTATGAAGGGATTCGGGCCTCTTTATTTCTATGGTTGATCTTTTTGTTTTATGTATCTGCAACTTGACTCTAACCATGTGAGAAATTGGGGGTTCAGGGCACAAATGAAATTGGGCGTTCTGAGCAAAGACGGCTGGATTTGAAGTCGCCAGCTGCAATTCGACGGATTGAGACTTCTCATCTCTTGAATTGGAGGCTGGACTGCCGGTGAGAAACTCCAATAAATCTCGCCATAGTTTGAGACTTGCGAAAATGGAGCCAATCGACCCACTGATTAAACACATGCATCAAGATCCCTTTGCGTGGAGTCAATCAACCCATTGACTGGTCCCCGAGAACCCGTTGCGTTGCGCCTACGACGATGGTTGGGCAGCGGCAATCTCTCTGCAAATCCAGCAACATAGTTTCTCTAATCCTCCCTTTGTCCGCCGACGACCATCATGATTCTTCTTCCCTCTGTCTTCCATACATAGACGAGAAAGAGAAGAGAAGAGTAATGGCAGATTGTAGACTGTAGTTGCAGAGAAAGGACAGGGAAGAAGAGAGTGGAAAGGTTCGTAATTGCAGAGAAAGAGAAATAAATAGAAAAAGGAAAGAGAAGAAGAGAGAAGTGGTTTGTCTCTGGAGACAGAGGGTTAGAAATGGAAGGAGGAGATAAAAAACGCGTCAATTGAAATTCCCTCCCCCCACCCCAAGTATTTTCAATTGAACCCTAACGAAACAATTGTGATTTCCCCACCCAAGATTGCTTCGTTTTTATTTTCTGCAGCCAAATGGGTCAATTTGGCCCAATTGTCTCAAAATGAGCCAATTGAGTACAATTGATCCATCACAATGTTCCATCCAAACGACCATGATAACTTATAATTGTCGGTTAGTTATTTATAGCTTTCTACGGGACCGTAGCGGATTCAGTCAATAACATTGTGATCAATAACTATACATAATTCAATCAAAATTCGCTATATTTGTGTCCCTTATTTCTCGTGAAAAGTCTTTAATTTCCATCCTTAATCTTTAACGGATGATTTCTCACTCGTTTTAAGTCAAAATTTAATTTTTTTTGCACTTTTAGATCAGATTAATTGTGCTTTTCAAAATGATATCCACTTTGATATATTTAAAAAAAATTGAGTTATTTTTTACCAGTCTATACCATATGGTATTGACTAGTATTGAAATAAGAGTATACCTATGGTATGAAAAACGTACCATGGTGGAATCAACAAACCAAGACTGTAGGATTGTTGAATACATGATAGTAGAAGTATACTTACTGTCATTTACGACTTTCAACATTGTGTACCACAAGATACCACCATGTACCAGAGTGGTATTGTATGGTATTGTGTGATATTTTTTTGTCCTGTATTTTATTCACCCAGAAATTCGTAGATGCAATAGATCATGATGAACTCGTTCCTTTGTGCAAAAAAATTCAAAAACGAAGAAGATACCATATGGATGCAGTTGGTAATGAGAGGCAAAAAAACAAATCTCAAAAAATATTGAAAATGGATTTCATTTTGTAGAGCACAACTAACTCGTTCCATCTGTGCAAAAAAAAAATAATTTGAATTCCGAGTTAAAACGAAAAAGATATGTACCGATGTAGAAAACATGAGAAACTAAATATAGACTCTTAGATCTGAATTTTCTGAATGAAGGATCTAGATTTAATTACTCATGGTTGCATAACCCATGATTATGCACTGTATCTTGAGCCGCTTTCTACAGAATTAATCCTTACTCTTATATCATACAATATTATTAATACGTATGATGGACTTGGTAACATAGTTAGTAAATACTCCATTTAATATACGTATATGGTTAATAACAAAAAATTGTTAACCTCGTATGGTTATAGTAAATTTTGGGAATTGACCCCTTACCACTAACCAAAAAATCATGATTTTGCTACCCACACACAACCCATTATCAACAAATTATGGATGGTCAACTACAATATGTACAGTACACTACGATTCGTGGGTTATCTGCAAACCACTCCTATATGACTTTCTGCCCACCAGCCAAACCGTGTCCGTCCATAATAACATCATCATTCAAAATTCAAATACGTCCCTACGGAACTCCAGAAATAGAAAAGGTATACTTCCAATCTCCATTGAGGAGCAAAATTTTCAACATTCGCTCCCTGCTGCTGTACAACCATTGATCTAAGTTACAACATTTCGAAGCCGAGCGCTCCAGGAAGACACGAGATTGATGATTATACACATCTTAATGCTGAAAACCAGATCCTTTAATGATCCAACCGAGGCACGCACAAAAAGAATGGAGAATATAAAAACACTGGAACCACCAAAAAATTATAATGACACTGTACTCTGCAAACTTCCTTCGTCGCTGCTCTTCTCTTGAGATGCACCTCGTGACGACGAATTCACTTGTTGTATCTGTCATGAAAACACAGACTGCTTTAGAGAGAAAGGAAACGAGTCCACGTGATATAATTTACAATGGCAGCTAAGGAATTCACTACTTACCTTATTAACAAGCAAGTTCACTTGCTCTCTATACATTTCTTTCAAGTCTACAATATCAGCACGGAGTTCCTCCAGCTACGAACAAGGAATAAGAATAAGAAATTCGCAACCACGTACAAATGTTAGATTAGTGTTAAATAGGAGATTGCGAAGAGGATTCCTTGGAGACATTGCTAAACTGTTTGTTACCAAGACTGCATTGGATAACGAACCGGCAGACCGAGAAAATGATAGCATTTACATCTACATGTCAAGACAACAGCTCGCACATACCTCTTCATCACGTTCACCCATTAACTCCAAAGCAGCCGAGTGTCTCCGCCTGAGTGCATCAAGCTCTGCTTTTATTCCAGGTAACAGAGCAGAATCAGCTCTCAACTTTTCACACTGCAAAACCGGAAGATACTTAACCCCAGTGATACGGAAGAAGATACATTTGAATTAGACCCCCAGCTGAGGAAATGCTTGCAGCAAATGCAAACTTTACCTGCTCTGTCATTTTAACCAACTCCTCTGCAAGAGAGTCACGAATTGATTCCATCGATGCCTGAAGATCATCCATTACATTAGTACAGGAACCACTATGCATCAATGAAATCAAATAGCCAATTCAGAAGCAGAAAAACATATAGAAAGGCAGAGAACAAGGGCAAGATTTAAAAAGCTATCAGTAATAAAATTGTGTTAACAATTATCTACATTCGAAATTGAAATAAGAGTTCATTCTTAAAGTTATACACATAATAGTCCTATATAAAAAAACCATTCATTTCTTTGTTATTTAACACACAATCGACCAGGCAATAAATTACTTTAATTACTAAAAACATATGTATCATTATCATATAATCTCTACTTTCTCTAAACCATACCAAACAGAACACACTTGTTTCTTCAATTTTACTGAGCGCAAAAATAAGTTATTTATTTATAAGCAAAAACGGAAACAAACACATTCTAAATACATAAGCAACAAGGACACATGGCTTTAAGCACAGCCCTTCCACAAGTTTCTTGGCAACCAATGAGTGCAGAGTGCAATAGAGTTGAGATATATTAATGCATACCAAACGAGACATGTACGAAGCAAGTTCACCCTCTTTCTGGCGAAGAGCAGACTCAAACGAGCTTGGTGTCATGCTCTTCATATAATATGGGCTCACAGTTGGCTCTCCAGAATTTCTCCTATCGCTGTGACTGTCTGATGCATCCAAAGTCGCTTGTAGGAAATAGCCCTCCTCCATACTGCCCAAACTGCCGACACTTGAGAGCTTCCGGGTCATGCGGCCTGCAAAATAACCTTAATATCAATACAGCTAAACAAAAGAAGCATGCAGGTATACGGCTAATAGATCCTTTTCACGGAGTAGCATACCATTTTCAATGGCTGATTGGGTCCTTGCTATTGGAGTATGGTCAGCTGCAGAAGCAGGCTTGAGAGGACTCGTCCGTTCTAAATCCAACCGAACAGCTTTCTCCTTCTCAACTTCCTGTAATATATCAAAACAACTAATTTCTCAGAGGACATCTTCTAAATCTGGCCTTTAAAATTGGCTTTTTAGATGGACTTCGATAACCACCACCCATATTATCGATATTGAAATTCAAACCAGCTAATGCAATAAGATTATAGGTGTGTTGTTTCAACGCTAAGAAACAAGTTACTTTTGTGATTGATAAAAAAAATGAGAAGTCACTTTTCAAGTTTGGTAAAAGTGGAAAACACATTAGGCCTCGTTTGCTTCCTGGAATTTGTCATGGATTTGGTACGTAAAAACTAAACATCATGGACTTTGTACACAATCCATCGTTTGCTTGAAGAATTTAGTAGGAATAAATTCGTGGGTCCACGGACTTGAGAATTCCACCCCAAGATGTGAGATTTGAGTTGGGGTACAAAGTCCATGATAACTTTTTACAATTTTAACCCTACTTATTTCACTAATCACCAACTTATCCTCTTTGAGTTACTAATGACCAACTTGTAGTGCATATTAATTTTGCATTCAATAATCATTATTATTCATTGCACGCAAGTACTACATGATTAATCCCAAAGCATACTTTGCAACATTGAAAACCTTAAGGAATTGTCTAATTGTGTGTACAATATGAAGTATTATTCATTAATGATGTTAATTTGTTCCGTGGTAGTGGACGAAGCTATTGGATGAAAATTGCTTTATAAACCTAAAAAAATTATAATGTAAAAATAAATAATGTTCAATAAGGGCACTAAGACTAACTCCAACCCAAAGATGCAAATTTGGAGAAATGGATGTTTTCCCACTTTTTCCTCTCCAACCCACATAAAAATTGGCTTGCAAATTTGGAGAAGTGGGCATGGGAGTGGATAGATGACAGCCAAATGGAAAAATGCAAGGAGAAGGTGGGGACCATGCGGCAGCCAAAGCCCACATGCAGGGGCACGGTGGGGCCCTCCACTTTCCAGCAGTTTTTTTTTTTTTACTTTATTAATTTTTGATTGGTTGGTTATGAGTTGGGAAGGCAAATTTAGAAGGTTTAGGGTTGGAGCAAAAAAGTGTTTTTGGGAGGTAAAAATGCACGTTTGAGAGGCTAAAAATGCACATTTGGGTTGGAGTTAGTCAAGGTAAATTTCTAACACAACCACAAATATAACAATGTCAAATCCATCAAGAATTCCAATAAGCAAACGATGGTTTGTACCAAAAACCAAATGGGGCAATTTCATCATATATCCATGGTTTTGTAAGACCCAAAATTTAACCAAAACTTTCATTTTTCAAATCCATCAAGCACCCTTATAATTAATTTTCATGCCTACTAAATCTAGCGGGCATAATTTAATCACAAAATGGCAATGGGCCATGAGAACCTGGAACGCAAAAAGGAAATCATATTGCTAAAAGGAAATGCAAAGCAAAAGTACTGGGGGCGGAACCTGCTGCAATCTCTCCTTCTGTACAAGTGCTTCTTGTAACTCGTGTTTATGCTTTCGTCTAAGCTCCTTAATTTCTTCTTCCAATTGGTTAGCACGACCTTCATGGGTGTCAGCTTCCTCCTTGGCCGCAAGATACTCTTGCCTATTTTCAGCTGCCCTCTGCCTCTCCTTTTCAACTGACCTACTTAACTGCGTCTGTTCTGCTCTAAGACATGAAATCTGAAACGAAGGACTCAAATCAGAAAGTTCATCAACACCACAATGCAAACTGATGTTGCTACGTCAACACAAGTACCTGAGCTTCAAGAACATTAATCCGTGATAGAGTCTGAGACAAGCGGTCATTCACATATCTTTCCCTTTCCTCAGCTTCTGCAGCTTTGGACTCCGCTTCCTGAACAAAACAACATCAGCAATCGAAATTATTACATGGTAGCAAAGGTACTCATATTTCAGTTTAGAAATCAAGGAAGAACCTGAAGACGAGAACTGAGAGACCTCTCCACAGCATTCCAGGCTTCAGCCCTTCTGGACATTGTTTCCTATAGGCAATAAAAGAAAGGCTCATTAACAAACACGGGTGCTGATAGTAGTTTGATATGCACCCCATGACGAAAGAGAGAAAACCAAACTGCAAATCCACCTGCATGGCTTCAATCTGCCTCAGAAGAGGCCTTGTGGATTCAGGAACTTGTGATACTAACTCCTCACACCGTCGTTCACTTGCCTATTAGGAGATAATGATAAAGGTAATGGAATCAGTAAAGTCAGGAAAAAAATAAACTAAAAGCGGAAATCATAGTTAACAGAATCCAATGAAGTTGGAACAGACTTGATAACGTTTTTGAAGATCATCAATCTCCCTGCGATGCATGTCCTCAATGAAAACAGCCTACAAGAGAAACAAAAATGGTATGACTCATAGCATTAAACACAAAGGTTCCCTGAAGTATATTTAATTATTTCGTTCCAAAAGTGCCGAACCTGCTGTTCCTTTCTACTCAAGGTTTGTCTTAACTCTTCGAGTGCCTGAACTAGCATAGTCTCACGTTCTTCTGCCTCTCTTATCCGACCCTCTAATTCGATTCTGGCTTCATTGTTGGCACGCGCCTCAGCCAATGACTCAGCCTCTTTTGCAGCAGTCAAAGCATTTGAATAGTATTCTTTCTGTGCAGCGAGTTCTGCTTGGTGCTTTTCAATCGTTTCTTGCAGCAATTTCTCGGTCGCTGTCTTGTCCTTCTTCATACTTTCTGCTTTATTCTCTTCCACCTGGAAATAGAACAGAACATAGCTTGAGATTATACTTAGTTGGCAGATCATTAAGAACAGCCGTATAACTATTTTGGTGCATTGCACTTTTAAGTGACAGAATGTGATTCCTTAACCAAACTATGACAATCACAGAGAAAGACCAGTCAGGTGTCTCCTGATTGTGAAGACTATCCACTGTCTCAGTGCATGTAAATCAAATTCATACAGAAAAGTGACCATACAAAATTCCTTGACAAAAAGAAGACACTCAAAGCTCCTCGAATCCAACAAATTTCCCGCATTACTAATCACATTCTGAGCTGCAAAATTAGATAGTGGTACTCCATATGTGACCGGATAACGTCAAAACAATCATGAAGCATCAAAAGACATCATGAGGAACCTGAAGTTTGGTTGTTAAACCCTTCTTTTCTTCCTCAAGCTCTCTTATCTACGATCAATGGACAAGCAAGAAAAACAGTACATGGATCAGTATTATTGCCATTCATATAATTATTCCAAATGAAGTTTCTCGAATCGGCAGTTTCAATCAGATACCTGAGCCCTTAATTTCCTCATAGTAGATTCCTGGGCAGCTTGCTTTTTTGAAAGCTCTTCGCCTAGGATTAAAACAACACATATACCCCATGAAACATATAGAAAATAGGAGCCACATGGCTATACAGCACCAGACAGGTATATGCCAAATTGAAATCATCCATTCAAAAACAGGTCAAAGCATAAAAATGATAATTGTAATCAGTGATCACTTCTTCGTAGAAAATGATAAATAAATAATACCCCAAATCTTACGATTTGGGACTACGATATCTCTGGGATTAGGGGGAAAAGTAATCACGGAAACAAGAATAGACATATCACAGGAAAACAAAAGCCTCTATGTTGTACCTTCAGCCATAACCTGATTAATAATTTCATCTTTCTCCTTTAGAAGAGCGGCTGCATCACTTTTTTTATTCTGTTCTCTACGCAGCGTGTCCCTCTCCTTTGTCAGGGCATATACCTGCAACCAACTTGCACATGAAAGAAGAATGAGCATGAGAGAAAACCAGCACTTGCCTCGCTGACATATACAGTCACATGACTGGTCTTGTGAGATCTAACATGATTTGGGTGCTTAAAAATTATAAAAGCGTACCTTTCTTTCAAGAGTTGCGACTCTTTGATGATATTCCTCTCTTAAGGATTCAACCTCAGCATCATTTGACTTTCTCTGTTTTGAAAATGGCCAATGGAGTTTCAAGGACAAAGAGTAAGAGGTGTTGATAACAGGATTGTCATAAGTGAAAGTTGAGGTCAAGGGACCAGAAGCAAGAAAAGTTTAATGAAAGAAATTATTGGCTTTCAGAAGTTCTGCAATAGTGTTTCTACTCAATTGTAACAGAAAGAATTGACATAGAAAGATAGTACTTTAACTTCTTTAAAGGTTAAATTAAAATCAAGGTCTCTCATCAACGCACTAGCGGAAATTAACGGCCTTGATTGAGAAAGAAGAGGCTCAGGTGCATGCCTTGCACAAAAGCCCAGGAAATACAATTTAACAAGCCCTTCAAATTCCAATTTCAGAGTTATAAATTATGACCATAACCTCAGAAATAGAAGAACAACTTAAACAACACGCTGATATTGGAAGAAACTGTAAGTGTTGACTCCAATACAAGGACTAGAAGATCCTCTATGGAACAGCAATTTGGTAACAAAGAACCATTTTCCTCTCATCTCCTTCCAAAGAACAATGATGGTGCAGCCAGAAAGTATAGGGCTCCACATCCCTTTGCTTAGAAAATCCCACTCTACTGCTTGATCATAGGGATGACATATTCTTCCACGTAGAATTTTTACATAAAAGATAGTCAATGTGGAACAGCAATGAGCCGCTGAATGCAATACCTATGCCTTTGAAGTTAAAAATAAAAGGAAGTTCAATATATACCTTCAAATCCTCAATCACAGCTTTCAGATGTTCATTCTCAGTCATCAATTTCGCAATGTCATCTGCTTTTGCCTAGAAACAAAGAACGTCAATTCCAGAAGAAGCATACAAGCTCTTAGTAAAAGGGAGTGGAAGGAGGTGAGTCACTCTGATGTCAGGAAAACAGAAATTTCAATACACAGTTCCAAACTATATCCAACAACAAAATAGTTAACAATACTACACTGCACAGTATAATTTTGACACCCGAGTTTCCTACAAAATAGAAGTTCTGTAAAATAACACTTCAAGCTTCAAACTGGCAAAAAGAAAATTAGGTGCCATTATGATTCAAACATCTTAAATTTTCACAACCGCAATATCTTCTGCAGCATATATCTTGATTAACTCAAACTCACTGAGTCCAGATTTTTATTTGGAAGCATTTGGCGAAAAACCAATAGGCTTGGGCAAGTAGACATAAGAGAAGCACATCAAATGGAGAATTGATCAAATAATTTAATGCCACTTAATTCCAAGGGCACATGTTATAGCCTGTGATCTCTCGGACACGTGAATCATATATTGATGGATGTGGCCAGCCAAACAATTATACGACCTCACTGAAAGACTTCACTAAAGATAAATATGAAGTACGGCATTGATAGTTCTGCTTATTCATGGTACTGATTACAATGAATACCTGGGCTTGCCTAGCGGCACCTTGCAATGCAGCTTCCATCATTTGCATCTCCTTCTTCAGTTTTTTGAGTTCAGAATGCATAACATCAGGTGAGAGTGATTCAGCACCAAAAATTTTCACTTCACTGTCAACCTTGCCATCATTTACATGTTTTCCAGGGACAACTGCCACAACATCAACACTATCTTCATTAGAAATTGATGCATCAGAAGCCCTTTCTGATGAACCTCTAGATGAAACTGAACCTTCACGATCAACTTCAGCCTCTTTGTCAATGACAGGCTGCAAATCGGACTGATCAACTCTTACTCCAGTTTGGGCATCACTTAATACCTCGGGCTCAAAGTAACTTGAGCCTTCAGCTTTAACTGGACTTCCCTCTGTTATCTCCAGTTTCTTTTCTACATCTTCTTTTGGATGCATGTAAATTGATTCCCCTGGCACATGACCAACCAATACATTCTCCACCTGATCTGGTTCAATAGCTTCAAGCTTAGACTCCACCGACTCCAAATTTTCAACAGCCTGCACTCCTGAGATGTCACTGTCGTGGACATCAACAACAGAATGCAATGGATGTATTCTAGATTCAGCTTGTTCAACAAGCACAGGTTGCGACAGTATTCGTGAGTCCTCTGTTACAGGTTCTGAAGTATTCTCATATTTTAGTTCTGAAGTCTGCTCACCAGCTCCATAGACCTCAAGTGCCTCATTTTCCCCAACCGAATTATCATCAGAGGTCAATTTTCGTGTTTCATGCTCTTCAGAAGTGGACAATCTCTGCGGAGATTGAACTTTTCCAGAAGACTCATCAGTGCCATCTTCTCGTTCTTGAACCTTCTCAACCACAGACAGTTTCTGTGGAGAACCATTTTTGTCTGTAGCCTCAGCATCTCCATCCTCACTTTCAAGACTTCCCTTGATAGGGGATGATTTCTGTGAAGAACCAGTTTTCTCTGAAGGTTCAAGTGAACTATCCTCATATCTAAGCCTTTCCTCATCTGTAGATAACTTCTGAGGGGATTTTGTATCGCCTGAAGATTCAGCATCAGAATCCTCACCCTTGTTCCATGACATCATCGGCCATAGTCCCCCTGGTGCTGTACCATGAAAGAAAGTGAGAACTTTCACAAGCAAAAAAATATTAAACATGCATTAGCAAGTAATTTCACAGTTTTCACTTTTCCATTTGATCACATTCTGTATGCTAACTAACATGCGGCATTCATAGCACACTAGCAGTTTGTCAAAAAAAAAAAAATTGATAGTACACTAGCAGACCCAATACCAAGTTTAATTCGTTGACAAGCTATTCCAACAATGTCTGCAAAAACCAGGTTTAGGGGTTTCAGGGTCTGTCGCTTGCAAGCGAACTAAGAAAAGTGGGGGAAACAAAAGTGAAAGAACTCGACGAGCAACTCAGCCACTGTAAATCCAGTAAACAAGACTCAACAAGGTACGTATTTTATGGCTCCATTTGCACAATTCAAAGTGAAACGGAAATGTAAGCAGGAGAGACTTCACTTTGCCACCACAGGCCCACAGACCTAGTACCCATTCTCGTCCAATTCAACAGTGGAATTAATGTGTAGCTACAGCCGAAGAAGCAAATCGTGAACAACAGAGCAAACGGGACAAAAAAGAAGCACCTTCGGCGTTGGTGGAAGTGGATTCGATAGGCTTCTCTTCGAAACCAAGAGCATTATCGAAATTCTTCTCAATATTCTTGACGCTCTCGCTGAACTTATTCACCGCCCCAGCCAGATCCAAGTTTCCCAGAGAAACTTTCCCGCTAAACCACGCCATCTCCCTCCCTAGAAAACTACAAACAGAAATTAGAACACGCGTAAGGTAAGATCACGAAAACGCCACCTTTTCCAGAGATCAATCAGGATCACGGAAAATCAGAGACCCGTGCTAATTCGAACACGAACTCGATGAATCGGAGACAAATCTAGGGAAAGGAATTGGCTAGATGGATCGGTTCAGATTGCGAAGAAGAGAACTGAGGGAGTAAATCGCGGTTGCCGATCAGCATCAATATCGAAGAATCGGGAATGGAGGAGGAGAAGGAGGAAACCTGGAGAAGTCAGGAAATGCGGCGGATTGGGGGAGATACTCCAGAAATTCAAATCAAATCCATGGCGCTTGTCTCGGTCGATCGGTTGTTTTTTCCGTGTGCCTGTCTTCGTCTTCTGAGAGAGGAGGTGAGAGAACCCGAAAGGGGAGGGAAGAAAACTGTTTTTTCTGGGACACAAAAGACGGTGCCGCGGTGAGTTTTGACTTTTGAACAGTAAAAATCCCGGTTTCGTTTGATCCGTCTGCGATTGCGACACCGAACACATGCTCGTTGCAAGCTTGTGCGTAAATCGGGATTAGGTAAAATTAAAAAAGACCTGTTTGCACATTCCGACCTTCGATAGAGTTGGGAAACGAGCGATAGAGTTAGGTAACGGGCGATTCTTCACGACATTAGTTAGTTGCGAGTAGGGATGGCAATTTCGATCTGACCCCAATGTAGTCAAAAGCGAGTTTCTACGTAAAAACGTTTTGGTGATCTAAAAGCGTAAAATCGTAAGTTTTTAAGTTTTAAAGCGGAGTTTTTAACTACATAAGTCATAAAAACTGAGATTTTGTGTAGAAGCGTTTTAGTGACCTAGAAACGTAAAATCGTAAGTTTTCAAGTTTTAAAACACAATCTTAACTACATTGTCTGACCCGTTTTACCTGACCTGTTTGGTCTGTTTTGAGCGGGTCCGACCTGCCCCGTAGGTGGGGTGGGACGGGCATGGGTATGGGCAATGTAGTTAAAAGCTAGCTTTAAAGTCTAAAAGCCTACGCTTTGAAACCCCCAAATATTGTAGTTTTTGTTCAAAAAGCCTTTTGCATCAAAAGCCCAAGTAAAACCCTCAAGCCCAGTAAAACCCTTAAAAGCTAGCTTTTGACGGCTTTTCTACGCTTTTGATATCCGAGTATGAGGACCATATTTGATCGTGTTTGGTTCAATTTTTTGGACAAAAGAGAATAATGATGCATTCTTATTTGTTTTCTAGTTGGGTTATCCTTTCAATCTTTGCTTTTATGAATTCATCATCTCTAATTCACCGCCACTTTTTCACATTCTCATATTTTCTCTGCCTCCAAAACCACATGCCACATCCAAAGTTCAGCTTCCAACGCCTTTTCCTCCCGCAACGGGCGTCTAACTTCCTCTTAGGTGGCTCCCGCTGCTACTATAACTTGGACATCTTCACTGGATGCATCAACCCTCCCCATCCCTATAAATCCACCCCACCTCTATGACTATGTTGTCGTCAAAGCTCATCTCCTCCAGCCTCACATTTGCCGTCACTTTCACTTATCACTGAAGCTTGCCTATAACCCTTCTAACTTCATCATTTTTCGTTGATTCTCTTTTCATATTTTTAAAGCAAGTAGAAGGTGGTGAATTATTGTTTAAAAGCCTATTAATTTAGTTTATGTGCATGAAAGTAATATGTTAATTATGAGCTAGTTCATTTATATGTTCATATTTTGCAGAAAACAAGTTATGGTTTAGAATATTTGTATTAAAATTATATGATGTGTAAAAGCTTACGCTTATATGCTTCGCTTTGGCGCTTTCGCTTTTATCCATTATTTCGCTTTTACCTAGAAGCTAGACTTTGACTACATTGGGCATGGGTACTCTCATCGACCCGCCCTGCCCTGACCCGCCACATTCTCGACCTGTTCTTGTCTAAATTACTTGTAATCTTAATCAAATTACTTAGGAATTTTCGTTTATTACATCATATTTTAGCTGTAATAACTTTTTAAATTAGTGAAAACCTCAATTTCTTCAATAATTTAACTATATTTATCATAATATTGTTTTTTTCTTGGTCTTATAATAAAAATAACGAATATTTCTAATGTTTTTCATATAAATTGCATATCCATTTGGTCGACCTGCCCCGACCCGTAATAAGTTACCGACCTAGACCCGACCTGCCACGGGGCGGGTCTGGGTACCAAGAAACCCGCCCCGGACCTGCCCCATTTCCATTCCTAGTTGTGAGTATATATACTTATAGGGTGAAATGGGGGTGACGTGAGGGAGTTGAGATTTAAGGGTTGTGGCTTAGTGACTCAATAAATGGCTCATTTAAGTGGTTTTTCGGTTGCGAGCCAAGCCAGCCGAGATAATTCTTATTCAGCCTAGCAAAATTAATATCCAACATGCACGAACTAGTAGTCAAGTATGCTATTTTTATGAAGTATACCTGGGAGCACAAACTAGTATCCAGAGAGCATAGACTAGTAGTCTTTTTTTTCCAAGAAATGACAATAGAAAGAACTACACACTCTACCCGAAAACCTCCCAACCTATTACATCAATGAAGCCACCCAACAAAATCGAAAGAACATAACTCAAGAGGAGAGAGAAGCAGGGCTTTCTGCGCCACTCTATGGGCAACCCTATTAGCAGTCCGAGGAACTGCCCTAAACTCTAAGGAGACAGAGACAGAAGAAAAGAGAAGGAAGCAATCCCGAAGCACCGGCCCTCCTAGGGAATCAGAAGAAACACCCTGACGAAGCTGACGAATCACCACTTCTGAATCACCTTCGATGATGACACGCGAGAGGGACTTGGAGACCAACAGGGAGACGACGTCCCTGGCCGCAAGAAGTTCCGCGAGGTAGGGGTCAGCAATGCCGGGGGTGCTGAAATCCTACTGCCAAAGCTACATGCCCGTCTGCTCCACGAACTACTAGACCAGACGAACAACCGGAAACATGAACCGCAACATCAAAATTGATCTTCAGAAAACCATCAGGTGGAGGGACCTAGGAGGGGAGGCGAGAACTCGGAGGCTGGCGGGAGGGGCAGGCGCAGGAGGAAGAGAGGAAGAGACTTCACGAACTTGGAAAAAACATTGGCGAGCTAAAGACTAGTAGTCAACATCACAAAACTAGTATCCAACTCACAGAATTAATATCCAACCAATCAATTACCAACTAATATCCACAATCAAACCAATTAGAATTCGTGCTTTGTTAACTGATATCTACCATGAAATCAATTATTATTCCACATTCACGAACTAATATCCAGACAACACAGAATAGTATCCATACATCACATAATTAGTATTCAGCCAACCAATTTCGAGCTAATATCCACATTCAAAACAACTAGCATTCAAGGTTTGCTAAATGATATCCAACATGAAAACAATGTGTATTCCACACATATACTGATATCCAGATAACACATAAGAGTATCCATATTTCACAGATTTAGTATTCAGGCAAAAAAATCCATTTACGAACTGATATCCATGGCATTAAGGGGTCGTTTGGATGGGTGATTGTGTTATGAGTTATTTTTTGGTTGAAATAACTCACTTTTTAGTCCTGTGGTATTTGAGCGGTATTTGTTGAAATTTGGTGCACAATTATGTTGTCTGGATGTAAAAAAAGGTGAGTTATTATTTGTGTGGTATTTAGGAAGAAAAAAAGTAGAAAAAACGCTAATGCCCCTAAATGGTTGTGAACCCATTTATATAAAATAGATTTTCACTCCACATTCCACAAGAGACCACTGTCGGCGGGAAACTATTATTCCTCCCCCTGCAAGTTTTTTCACGGAGTGTTCTTTGAGGGCGTTGTCGATCTTCTTCGTCCTGCTTCCACGATTCACCCCGGTGATTCCCCGTGCGAAGAGCAATGCAAGGTGTTCAAGGTGGCGATGTTAATGGTGTTGTGCTCTGCAAATATCTTAACAGCTGAAATTGAAAATTCCAAAGCACAGACATGGAGCGACATCGTAAAGGGGAAGAAGTCGACCGTTGCCTTAAACGGCACAGTATCAATGAACCCGCCACAATAGGCTCTATTTTGTATTTCTCCCCTGTTGCTTTTCTTTTCACTCTACTCTGCTGTAAAAGGACACAACCCAGCAGATCCTTAACCTGTAGTGGCAATGCCACATATATATTCATCTCAATGCAAAGGCACAACCCAGGTTTTAGGGTTTTCCACTCAACATTGTCAATATGGTATCAGAGCCTCAACCCTAGTCGCCTCTAAAATTTTCTCACCATGGCTCAAATTCAACCTCATGCTCAACCTGATCCCATGGCGGATCCTTACTTCTTACATGCTTCTGAACAACCTGGAGTCTTGCTGGTTGGTGAAAAACTCACTCCCACCAACTATAATGACTGGAGCAAGGCGATGTACAATGCCCTTGGAGCGAAGAACAAACTCGGCTTCATTGATGGCACCATCCCTGCTCCAACAACAAACACAGATCCTCTTCACTGGTCCTGGAAAAGAAACAACATTATGGTTCTCAGCTGGATTCAACAAGCTGTTGAACCAGGCATTCACAAGACCTTGATGTCTCTCAAGCTTGCCTCTGAAGCCTGGCAAAGTTTAAAGGCTCGATATGGTCAGGGAGACATTGTTCGTGTGGCAGAACTCATTGAATCACTCTCTAGTCTCCAACAAGGTAATTAGACTCTCAACGAGTACTATGGTCACTTCATTGCTATACAAGATGTACTAGATGGCTATCAACCCATAGAACCCTGTGCTTGTACTCCAACCAGTCATCAAACATGTCTTGCCCTGAAACTAGTTCTTCATTACAGAGAAACCAATTATGTGATCCAGTTTCTTAGGGGTCTGAATGACAACTACTCTACAGTAAGATCTCAAGTTCCCTTTGGAGAGACCTTACCCTCTATTGACAAGGTTTTCCAGCGCCTACTTCAACATGAAAGGCAACAGTTTGGGTCTCAACAGAGCAGGGTTCT